CCCATTGAGCATCTCTGGAGAGACCTGAAAATGGCTGTCCACCAAGGTTTACCATCCAACCTGACAGAACTGGAGAGGATCTGCAAGGAGGAATGGCAGAGGATCCCCAAATGCAGGTGTGAAAAACTTGTTGCATCATTCCCGAAAAGACTCATGGCTGTATTAGCTCAAAAGGGTGCTTCTACTAAATACTGAGCAAAGGGTCTGAATACTTATGACCATGTGATATTTCAGTTTTTCTTTTTTAATAAATCTGCAAAAATGTCAAAAATTCTGTGTTTTTCTGTCAATATGGGGTGCTGTGTGTACATTAATGAGGAAAAAAAATGAACTTAAATGATTTTAGCATATGGCTGCAATATAACAAAGAGTGAAAAATTTAAGGGGGTCTGAATACTTTCCGTACCCACTGTATAGTCAGTGTTTGGTAAATGCTGTGGTGCAGCCACACAGTCTCTAGTGTCACTGTACACAAAATCTGTTGCTGATGTCATCTCGGACTGAATACAGTCTCTCTTAAGTTCCTTGAAAGGACGGGCTCACCACAATGACAAACATTTTTTCACTACCCCCCAGGTGTTACCTTGCCATGTCACTGAGACATTTCCTTATTCATTTGCATTAAACATTGCTCCCTGGTTGATGTTTTCTGCCCATGTTTTATTGAGTATTTCATGTTACTCAGCAGGTGGCAGTAGTTTTCCATTAGTGCCGAGCTGTGAGGGAGTGAATGAAACTGAGCTGGTGGAGCTGTTCTTCCTGGCACAGCCAGGACACTGATCTGCTTTAGTTGTTTGAACCATCACTGAACCACCTCACTTTGGATTAAAAACAGAGACATACCTATTCAGCAGAATGAAGTGACGAATGAACTCAGTGTCACTCTCTGACGCTATCCTTGTTACTTTAGGTGTTGCTGAAAGTTGCCAAAAAATGTTTGTGTTGACTCTTTAAAGAGTTTTTGTGATTTCTTTAATTTTTTATTTTATTTTATTGTGTTTATTTTTTGAAAAATGTGAGTGAGTGAACATGGGCTGAGTGGAGGACCAGACCAGGAGGAGGTTTGTGGTTAGCCTGCAGTGGACACAGACAGATGGGTGACAAATTAAAGGAAAAAACCAACAAAGTGCCTTTGTAAGGTGTTGGGCCACCATGTGCTGCCAGAACAGTTTCAGTGCACCTTGGCATTTCTTCTAGAAGTCTCTGAACTCTGGAGAGACAAGCACCATTCTTCCAAAAGATATTCTCTCTCTCCTTGTACCTTTCTCCATGCATCCCTGGCTCTGGAGCTGTACGTTTCTGATGAGCAGTCACCGACCACATCAAGCTGCCCAGCGTTTGATTGTTTGTTGCGTCGTGCCACTTTCTTTTCTTTTCTTTCTTCTCTATCCACTCTCCTCAACAGGTCAAGGCAGAAGGCTGCCCACCAAGAGCCAGGTTTCTTCCGTTAAAAGGGGTTTTTCCTCCCCGTTGTAGCCAAGTGCTTGCTCAAGGGGGATTTGATGAGGTTTTCCTTCACTATATTAATAATAGTAAGGTCTAGACCTCACTTTGTAGAGTGTCCTGAAACAACTTTTGTTATAATTGGGTGCTATACATATAAAATTGAATTGAATCGGAACTGAATTTGGTGTTTTGGTGATGGTGGTGGAGACGCTGTCTAACGTGTTGCTTCAAAATCTTGTTGAAATGTGGTGATTATGAAGGCCACGGCATACATATGTTTCACATTATTTTCCTACTTCTCAAACCATTCCTTGATCCCTCATTCCCTGTGAATGAGGTTTTGTCATCCTGGAAGATACAACTCATTTATTCAGGGTTTTCCTGTAATTTGTCACCCATTTGTACTTTTCCTTTTACCAAATAACTGAAATCAGAGATATGCTCATCTTACTCATTAACCAACAAAGCAAATCTAGTCTTGCATAGCCATGTATCTTGGTCATCAAGTTGACCAAGCTTAGAGAAAGTCTTGTGAAACTGATTGGGATAACTAAACTTTGGAAACCCCACAGACGCTCTCCACTGGAAGTGGGTTTCAAATAGCCACCCCAGGAAACGACATCTGTGATTTGTTTAAAGTTCAAGTAGATCAAATTCTCCTTGTAGAATTAAGTCTTTGAGATAAAGCTGAGCTTGCACATTGGGATTCAAATATCAGTTTGGCTAGTAAACTCATTAGAAATTTGTAGTGTGGATTTAAAAGACTGACCCAGCTCTACCACACAGAGTTCTGCCTGCTTTTCTTGTGTAGCATGTCTTATTAATCATAATCTCAGGCTAAAAAAAGACCTCTCTAAACCACAGAGCAGTTAACCTCAGTCAACTGGAGCTACATGTCCACTTCAGAAAGCTTTATGGGCAGATCTTCACATCACATCCTCCTGCAGTGCCTGCACCCCCCCCCCAGGTCCCATATCGACCATAGCCTGTAATGAAAAAGAAATATTGTTTTGCCCCACTAACTTGAAGCTGCAGTTATTTCCACAGGAATCCATTTAACAGGCATGAAATGAATGAGCAGTCCCGTATGATTCTTGAAGCTATCTCATCTTGGGTTCTTAGACTGTTCAGTAACATGAGAGCTCCTAGTGCGGTTAGTGTGCACATGTGTAAATGTCTATCTCCTCGCTTCCTTTTACAGGACCGTCTCTTCTTTGTGATGGAGTTTGTGAATGGTGGTGACCTTATGTTCCACATCCAGAAATCCAGGAAGTTTGAAGAGCCTAGAGCACGTTTCTACACAGCAGAGATCACCTCTGCTCTCATGTTCCTGCACAGCAAAGGCATCATCTACAGGTTGGAATTAAGAAACACAAACGATAGTTGAATTTGCCGCACTAGATAGAGTAGAACACATATGTGCACAGAAAGCTTTCCAAAGCTAAATAAAAAGTTTACCACAATATAGGTCTATTCTAACTAGTGATTTGTTCCATTTTTGAGCCCTAGAGAAGTATTTTGAAATATGTCCTACTCTTAATACTGCAAAGATCCTTCCTCCAGAAACAAGTACCACTGATTTTGAGGATCTACATAGACTGTACACAACCTCAGATTATTAGTTTTTGGGAGAATTCAACGGCCTATAAAAACAGCTGTCATCTTGCTTGGTTGAGTCTGGTATACAGTATATTGGTTTGGATTTGGAGACCACACACTTAAACAGAAAACCTGTATTAACTTCAAATGCATGATAAAGAAGTTGTGTTATAAAAATGTTAGAATCCAACATTTCTGGATCTTGATCCATATTAGAGATTCATCACGCTGACTTGTCCTCTGTTGCCTCAGTTGTGACCATTTTATTTAGTCTGTCTTTTACAAATCATCCCACTCATTGGTGGGGAAACAAAATCTCTGGGTTATTCTTTTAAGATGGATGTATTATCTTCACAGTGTATATTTAGTTGAAATATTGGTGCATATTTGGTACCACGAAACAAATCAGTTTGCCCTTGTGGTTTCATCTCAGCCTCCTCTCACCCTCAGTTCATGGCATGTTTTCAGGGAGTTGAGGGACAGAGCATCAGGCCTCCTGCCACTACATGATGATAAGGGCATCATGTGAGCTAACAGTATCGAGTTATATTTAAATGGTCCATGTGTACTGTGTCAGCCTGCACCACATAGCATGGCTGTTAGCTTAAGAGCCCACACACAGTCCGCATGCTATAGTTAAAATAATAAGCCAAATAACAGTTTGCGCACCAGACCAGTGTAAGTGAAGCAGAAGTTGTGCTACCCACATAAAATGAAATTGCAGCCTCAGTGTGTGTGTGTGTGTGTGTCTTGTGTAATCTGAGCGTCTTCTCGTGACTCAACTGTTTGTCTTTGTTTACCCTTTTAGCCTCAGGTGAAGTTGTGCTGAGATAAAAGCCTCTCAGTTGATGCCAGTGTTTCTTGTTACTATCCTCCTCAAAAAGAACTTTAATAAAAAGTCAGTGTTTTTACATGATATAAAATACATGTAGTTTTGTTTTTAAGGGTTTTGACATTGAACCATTAAAACATTCAACACTCTGAAACCACACTGGCCAACTTTAACAGCCATTTAAGCACGTCTAGAGGGGTAAACACAGTATTATAAACTGCTGCTCAGTGTCAAGTGGTCTAGTACAAAAGCCCTGTGATAAAGTGTTGTGCTGTGGTGAATATATTTTGGTCCATGATATAGATCAAACCATATAAGGAGGGAATAAAGTATTAAAAAGAAAAAACAAAACATGCATTTAAAAAAAATGCTAGAACTTCAAACAGCTTATTTTAAAAACAAATTGTGTAAAATAAGACACAGCTCAATTGTGACTTGTGTCACAGTGGTATACCCTTAAGTTGATATAAACCTGCATACTTTTCAGAAGGTCATGGTACTATGAGGTGTGATATTACCGTTTATCCACAGCTAAAACAACAGCAACAAAAAAGTCTCAGTGCGTCACAGTGTTTGTCAGCATTTCCTGTTTGCTTCTTGGGAAATTTTCATGTTAATGCAATTCTATTTCTTACCCAGTTTGTGGAGCTTATTTCCTTTTGTAGCTCAGTGATGGGAGCATGGTAGTAAAACTGTCAGGGTAAGGATTCATTTCTTACTGGACACATGCATAGCACTGGAAAGTACTAAGGGGCATTAGTAAAGTAGAAGTGGCCATGTGGAATAGAAACACCCACTCAAACATAAATATCCTCCACGTTAGTTTTCTGATGTTTGTTGTTGTATTCTGTGGCTGAGTTGTTAATGATGTTTGAGCATCAGAGTTACTCTGTTTTTGCATGTTAGGGTCAAACATCATGAGCAAATGAGTCAGTGTTACACAATCGGCTTACGGTAGAGAGCTGCAAACCAGATTAAACCAACCAAAGTAGTCCTGGATGACTGCCAGTCCGGGTGTTTCTTTTGCATGCTAAGGGTTGTTTCTGTATTTGTCATCCTGTTTTCTGGAAATCAACCAGACTCTCTTTATTTATTTTGCAAGCATCAACAAGAATAAAAACATTCAGTTCCTTTACAGTTGTATGCATCAGCCTGTGCTATTACACAGTATCTTGTGTCTACTGTAGCTTTAGGCCATCTCTGTAAAATGACCTTGGCTTAAAGTTGGGTCACCTGACCACAGATTAGGGCTCGACTCCACTGCCCACACTCAACACGTTTAATCTCTGTCACATGACACAGTACCAGCTGGCATGCACACAGAGCAGGGGAGTTTACCATGTTTGGTAAAAGAGACATCCACATGTACAGCAGTGAGAGAGATACTGTACTTCTCCTGATATTACAATACATTAGATTTTTATTTGAATGAATGTTATCAGTTAAGGTACTGGTATTATTACTTTCTGTAAGGAGTTTCCACATAATTTTTCACATTATTAGAGAGCAAGTGCAAAATAATTTTTTTGTCAATAAGGTTATTCATCACTTGCAAGTGTAATAATTTTAAATATAGAATGTGTAATGCAGTACAATACAATGGGGTAGCCTTCAAAGTGCTTAGAGGTGAACTTGCTGGATGCAAAAAGGAGTGAATATGGCATTTTTTATGTGAGGGTGAACATGTCAGGAAGCAAGGGCCTTTAAACAGACATGATGCAGGGCAGCTAATTGCAGTGAGATACTGGCTAATGAGACTAGATTTAGGCTCATACACAGCTCATAGTCCCATAGGAAATAGCTATAGCTAATCTAAGACCAGGCCTTGTGTTGTGGTCAGAGGCATAGCAGGGTGTATATTTTGTGGAGCTGACAGTACCATGGAAGGATGCAATAGAAATGGCCTATGAGAGGAAAAAGCTTGTAGCTGGCTGCAGAGGGCTGTGGTTGGAAACCTTAGATCTGCTCAGGCTAGGCTGGCTGTAGGGGTTTTGTTTGGCAAAACTAATAACTGAGCTGGGTCCAAGAAGGCTGAGCAGCAAAAACATGGCCGACACTGCAGCCAGTTCCAGTCATTGGCTAAGGGTGGGAAGAGAGCTGAGTGAATGAGTGAGGTCTTGCAAGTATCAGCTCTTTGCATGGGATAGGAGGGTAGCATTTAAGAATGTTTTGAAGGTGCGTTGAGTTGGAGAGTGGTAATTTTCTGATGCAACTGGTAACTACTATAGGCGGAGTTAGATAAGTAGGGATAACAGCTGGACTACTGAGCGGACCAAAGCATTCAAATGAAACTGCCTATGAAGGCAGTGGTGCCAGTCGTGGTACTTAGGCTAGACAGTGCCAAGGTGGTGAGTGTTTACTGTTTCTTTGGGTGAGAGTAGGAGTTTAAAAGTATGTTAGGTTACTTTAAGGGTACTGGTTAGGGCTAGAGAATGGTTTCACCTCTCAAGGGGCCCAGCTGATTTATGACGACATGGCCTGATACCCACTGAGAGGGCCATACTGGGCCTCCATAGGAGTGCTTAGCCAACCTATGGCACAAACCTGTTGATTGAAAACTGATGACCAACATAAAGGGGTTTTTAAACTGCACCATAATCAGTAGCCAAACCATGTCACTCTCATCTAATTGACCTAATCTCTGTTGTAAGAATATATTACACAGAAAACATTAGCCCCTATTTTGCATTTCCTGGAAGTAGAATTTGAGCACTTTTTCCTTTTTAGCAACCTGAGTGGTTTTCTAAACGAGCCTGACATTTCCTGGCTGCCATGTAATCATCTTTCAGTGTTCTTGCTGCCACAGAAACATCTCTGTTCTCAGAGCACCTATTCTTTTTTGTCTCACCACAAATTTCTACCTCCATCAGATATAAATAGAAATAGTACCAGCAAGATGCAAGTGGAGGCTGAGCACAAACTGGCAATTTATCAGCTGCCGGTGATGATTGATCTGTTTTTGTCTGCTGGATGTCCCAAAGTAAATATAAAATTTTCCCTTTTCTCTGTGTATCTCTTCTGTCTTTTAGGGACCTAAAGTTGGACAATGTTCTTCTGGACAAAGATGGACACTGTAAGCTGGCAGACTTTGGCATGTGTAAAGAGGGCATATTTGAAGGCGTGGCCACAGGAACTTTCTGTGGGACCCCAGATTACATCGCCCCCGAGGTCATTTTCTACCCTTTTGTAGTACAATACAACAGTATACTCACAGTAACAGTCATACTCACAGCTACTATTATCTACAGACTGTTACATCCTTTATGCACTGGATCTATTTTACAGGACATTTTCAGACATTTTGTTCCTGTTTTATATAATTCAGTACTAACATGGATAAATTGCAGCAAAGAAATAAACTCCACCACATTTAGCTTCCTGCTGCCCAGGTCTTCTGAGTTCATATGATGCAATTTCCAGTCCCTTCCTGCCTCCATCACACCACCTCACTAAAACAAACTGTGGTCGCTGGCTGTGACTCCAAACTGCCTCCTGACTCACTGGAAGACAGCAGACCTGTGGGGTTAGCTTGTGAACAGCACTGTTGACTTGACAAGCCCTAATCCCCTCAGCAGAATTCAGCTTTACAGGCAACTAGATTTTCATAATGAGGGTTTTAGGTGGTCTGCATGAGAGATTTTTCTTTGACCAGAACTGTGTGTCTGGATTTTTGAAAGGCTTCTTTGCTGTTCTCAACAATTACTCCTCAGTTTAGCCTCACTGGCAACACACTTCTGCTAACTGAACTCACTGAACTCTTTTTTTAAAGTTTGCCTTAGTGCTTTTTGTGCCATGATGATTTAACATTATTGGTGGGCTGTGATATTTTCACAGATCCTCCAGGAGATGCTCTATGGGCCCTCTGTTGATTGGTGGGCTCTTGGGGTGCTGCTGTATGAGATGCTGTCAGGACACGCCCCCTTTGAGGCTGAAAATGAAGATGACCTGTTTGAATCCATCCTCAATGAAGAGATTGTTTATGCCTCTTGGCTCAGTACAGAGGCAGTGAATATACTGAAAGCTGTGAGTCTGCATCTGTTTATTTTTGTATTTACAGTTAGTGCTTCATCAGGTGTGAAACATTTTATGATGCATGAATGCCGGGCCTCACTGTGGTCTTTCTATTTTTTGGCCAGCATTTACTCTGCTCAGACTGCTTCTGTCAGACTTCTTTCACATTATACAATTGCTGGAAATGTCTGAAGGCTTTTTATACTGAAATAAAGAGGAGGAAATCAATTTCTCACTGGATTTGTGACCAGAATTGTGGAGAAAATCCAATAATCTGTAAACATTTACTCAAAGACCAGTGCCATGCTTTTCTGGATAGCAAAACATGAGGTGGCAGCATGCCATGGGTATTAAACAACCCATGGCATGCTCATTTCCAGCCATTTAATGTTTAATCTTGGGTACCTCTAGATTAGCTTTGGACCCATCATAACTGTAATTTTTTTCAGAATGACAATTCCTGAGAGCCTCTTCCTAAAAATGAGATAACCCGAGAGCCACCTCCTGAAAATGAGAGAATAGTTTGTGAACACGCACAACTCCTGCTGCTGGTGTTGCATCAAAATCTGTTTCCCCTAGCCTGAATCCTAACATTAACCTAACCACAACCACATGAAACCGAGTTTTGAACAGGGGTAACGCATCTTGACGGGGAAGCAAAAATCACTGACCAATAAGCTGTTTTTGACAGTGACAGTACCTCAAATCCTACCTGACATGTTCACCACAGAATTTCCAACCATTTAGTTTAATTTTTGGTACCTAACGTAAGACTTTTTGTTAGAAAAAACATCTCTCAAGCAAGAGTTTGCGAGACTTGTATAATCCGAGTTGCTTCTGCATAGAAGTACTAGAACATACGTACAGCTCATTTTTTGAGCTTTAGGTCACTTTTAGGATGATAATTCACCATTGTGACATTGTCGATAAATCAGAAACCAAAGAAAAGCATGCCATGGGCTGGTTAAGATATCAAAGGCTGGAATAGCTGTGCTCCGGATTTCTGTGATCAGGTTTTGTTATTTGTTGTCCTTCTGTCTGAGTGACATTCTCTGACTGAGTGACTGGCAGCCCTGCTGGACAGCTGTTAGACCTAGGTCTCTTACATAACTATATTAAGGCATGGTCCCCTGCCAAGCCACAGCACGTGAACTATAAATACAGTGACACCCCCTCCCTCCATTCCTCCCAGGCCAATCTCTACTGTTTATTTTTGTCAATGCTCTCAATGGGACATGTTACTATACGGATGTGTGTCAGTGTGAGTAGATTTCAATGCTGCTGCACTATTTTTACTGAAGGTTGATCAATTGTAAGGTTCTCCTTGTTCCTATAAATATGTTCAAGGAGTTTGTTGCCAAGTTGTTCAGGGTTTTGTCTGGATATCTATAAAAAGTATCACCAATGCTGCATTATCAATAATGACAGTTCATTTTAGTGGTTTGTGTAAACACTGATACTCACTGAAAATTAAACAGATCTCTTAAATAAGACCAAAACAAGCAATTATTTTCATTGTTGGTTCATTTATAAAATACCACAGTAGTGTAAATAAATACCCACCACAATTTCTCATACACTAAGGGGCTGTCCCTTTGCTTTGTATCTTTCTGCTGGTGTTGTGGAGAATGGCTTCTTCATGTTGTAATGCTGACATGGCAGGTCTGATGCTGAGGGTGGCACAGCTGACGTGGCTCCATGGAAAGATGGCATCTGCTTCAGTGGAACTCTTTTCCTAAAGTTTAGTGTCTCACAGGCCTCTGAACCGATTCACCCCTGCTGTTCTGTCTAGCTCACAGTTAATTCTAGGGGTGCAAAGATCAGGAAACTCAGTTCAGTTCATTTCAAATTGCAGATTTTGAGTCACAGATTGGAGCATTTTTTTGAATGATCTGTATTTTTAATCGATATTTTCATGACTGTTTATATAACAACAGAAGTCTGTAAAGCTTGTTGGCATGAACATGCAGCTGCTTTGGCAGCATCTATTTACTGCAACTTTGCTTTGAGATTTAGGGAATTATTACTTTAAAAAGTAACAGTGGCAATAAAACTGTATTTCACACTATGATGGTAAAACTTGGCAGTTAGTCTGGGGGAAAGTCGTATTGATCACAGGTCAACTACAATCCATTACACTACTATTTAATTCCACTTCATATCATATCACCATATGTACGAGTGTGGTGTTTTTTTTTTTTATGTTTGATGTTTACGGTGATGTGTTGCCTATGCCAGTCAGGGTTCACATTTCTTCATGTTGATGATATTCTTGCATCAGTTGGGAGCGAAAGCCACCTAGAAGCTGGGAGATTAATCTAAGTTATAGGAGCAAACAACACAAAACCAGAAAACAATACTTTAGGTTCATCCCCTCATCTTTATTTTTTCATCTCCTCTTTTGTGTCATTCTTCATCTGCACTGACATCTCTCTTGTTTCCTTTCACTACTCAGTGAGCTACATGCAGTGTTGTTTAGGCCAAGTCTCTGGTAGTTTACAGTGTTTAGAGCTGGTATAACAGCCATGTTATTCTTTTCCAGTGACACCAGCTTTATCTGGCTGTTGTCACTGTGGAGACGGAGGCTCATTATTTTGTTGTGGCTTAGTCTGAATGTCATTGTCAGACTTCCTCGCCAAGATAAAGTTGTCCAAAACATGTTTTCTCACTTACCTCCAGAGACAAGTTAAGACAAAGTTTTGTTTTTTTTATTTGTTGGGGTTTTTTTGTTTGTTTTTTTCCTTCCTCTGGCCTCTCCTACTTGGCAGAGAAGCAGTTGAAGGTGACCTACTATTCTATTGTTTTATTGTGAACTACTCCAGGAAGTTGAGGCACGTAATTGCTCATCATTGAACCTAGTAGCGCTCCCACTAACAGAAGCGTTGTGGGCGTGATAGACGCATTCTGGGTGTGTTTTTGAGTTGGAGTCAGGGATTTACTGGATATCTTCTTGGCTCAAGTCCACTTTGGCATTGCTTCAATAGAATCTGGTCTGATCTGGTTAAAGTATACTGTATGTCACGTTTCCTCACTTTCTACTGAGGATAAATAAATCCCCTTCTTCCAAACAGTTTGATTCTGCTTTGTTTATGTTGCTGCTTATGTTCATTTTCTTGATAGTGTGCTGACTTTTTTTTTTACTCCTTATTTTGCCTTAGGTGTCTGTGAATTCATCTGTCTTTTGGTTTTCACAGCTCTTAATCAAAAACCCAGCCCGACGTCTGGGCTGCGTGGCCTCAGAAGGTGGTGAGAACGCTGTGACCAGCCACACATTCTTTGCTGGCATCGATTGGGAGAAGCTCAATCGTAGAGAAATCGAGCCACCCTTCAAGCCCAGAATTGTAAGTTACATGAATAACTTGACATGGTAATGTGTGTACAAATGATAATGAAGACACTTATTACATAGTATAGTATTACATAGTTTTTACTAAAATGTTGCTACTGATTATTTCCCCTCTAGAAAACACCAGAGGATGTCAACAACTTTGACCCAGATTTCACCCAGGAAGAGCCCACCCTCACACCCATTGATGACCCTCTGATCCCTTCCATCAACCAGGAGGAGTTTCGTAACTTCTCCTTCACCTGCCCTGAAATGCTGGAGAGTTAAAAGTCTCCTCGCTCGTCTCGCTCTTCTCAGTGTCTTCTGGCTTTATCAAAAACAGTTCCCAGTTGTATATACAGTATAATGTTGTCACATTCCCCAAAGACATGAGGATGCAAAGCACAGAGGAGTTACAACACAGGCTTGATAAGAACTGGGGCTGCACGAGATGAACTCTTAAGCGCTGCTGTAATTCATGACAAAGTGGCTTTTGAAATAATGGTTTGATTGGGACATTGCTGCAAATGTTTGTGTAGAAATATATTTGACATGTTGATGTACTGTAAATTTATTTGACAAAGGTGTACAATTTCAGAAGTTTATCGTTCATTTTCTTTTATGCAGATGGATGAGTTTTCTGCCAGATACTTCAAATGAAAAAGCACTTTTGGAGCATAATGGCATTTGTGTTTTGTTTTTTCTAAAGCACTATACACAGAATGGAAAAAAGTCAGCCTTAACCATGCTGACTGCCAAAGATTCACAGAAAGGTTGAGCTGCCAGTTAAAATCCTGGAAGCAGTGCGAGAGCAGTTGGAATACTTTCTTATGTGACTATGCTCTGGAAAAATGCAATTACATGCAGATGAGCCAACACTGGTCTAATGAGAGTAGAGTCCCTCGCGGGTCCCCTAACTTTCAAAATAAAAGGATTAAACTTAAATGAAGCTTGTAGAAGTATCAACTCAACAACTTGTAATAAAAAAGGTTAAATTGGGTCACAGGTTAAATTGGGTTAATGTTTTAATTAAAATTTAAAAAGATTGATTTGTCAAAAGTTGCTGGAGTCAGTTTCAGATAATAGGGGTTCTGTATTATTTATCAGCCACACCCAGTAACAAATACTGGCATCTGTCTCAGTGAAGCTCCATGTAATTTGATCAGCCAGGCTTGTTGAGGATGATGCAAGGTTGCCCTGAGGCAATAGCACTGAGGTGATTCATACCAACTATGAAATATCCAGATGTCTGGAGATGTACATACAGTTACCTGAACAGAACAATACTGCTATGGTGATTGGTAATTGCAAGAGTCAAATGAGTTGTTGTGTGTCTGAAGGTTACTCACTCTGCTGCTCTTTTTCTCAAGTCTTTTTCTCAACAAACAGAGCCTTTGAAAACGTCTTGCTCCATGGGCAGAATTCCTTGGTAGTGGGAAATCACATGGGGGCATTTTCAAACAAGCAAATCCATAAAAGTTGTTGAGTATTCTCCTTGCTGAACACTGAAGCTGCCATCTCTGTGAAAATACAAAATGGAAACTAGAAGGAGTTGGATAAACAATTAGGCCTGCTTAAAATTTTTAACCTGCAGTAAAGTAACATTGGCCAATTGTGGTATGAGCCTCAGTACTGTAGTTCATTTTGTCAGTGCAAACCATCGGAGAATAAACAGGAAGCCACACAGTGTCATTGCTGTCACTTTCTCAGAAACAGGAAGACACCAGAAAGAAAGAAAAATCACGCTCTTTGTGGTGCTTTCTGAAGCAGGAGCACAGTTCATTGTGTGTTGTCGGTAACAGAATTTGAAACAAACTAAAAAAGAAATTTGCATTAAGAAGACTCTCACATGCACCATTAACAGAGCAGAGATGGACTCTTCCTGTTCATTTAAAGGAGGAGACCTTCAGGATCCACATCATATCCCATCAGAGTGCAATCCTGTTGAGGATTCTACTGCTTAATGCTGTCAGTTGGTGGCTTGAGATAAAAGAAAACTTGACATAATTTGAAACTGAACAGTGATTTCATCCTGTGACTGTACAAAACAAAGAGCTACTCTGCTTATGGAAATTTATCTGTACTTGCAAAAACTAGATTTGAGTCAGGGGAGGCTAGCTCTTTATGTTGTGCTTCTATCCCTGTTAAGTCTCTGATTTAGCTCAAGAGTTAAAGTGCATTGATCTCAGAGACTTAAGTGCAGCCAGCCAGTCTATTTTAGGCTTTCTCAAAGATGATCAGAGAGAGCTATATTTAAAAAAAAATGAGACAATGGATTCATTGACTTGAGTTTTTGTTTAGCCATTTATATGGCAGCTTTCCTCGGGTAATGTCTGATTGAGTGGAAAGATTTAGAAGCCTTGTCTCAGGTTCCATTACTGAGGATTGCTGATGGCTACTAGCAGTATCTGCACAAAAAGCTGTCCTGTGTGACTGGATTTTTTTTTTTTATTATTACTTTTTGTAAGTTCTGTGCATTAGCAAAAAACAGGTCTCCATCATATCAATGCTCCAGCCAATAGCTGTTACATAGAGTTTGTCTCTCACCATGTCTATGAGTTGCTTACAATGACAAAAAAAAGCTGAATACAATCATATAATGGCCAATATTGCAATAACAATGCAATACTTTTATACATTTCAACATGTGAGAAGTAGGGTGGCACAGTGGTTAGTGCCGTTGCCTAACAGCGAGAAGGTTTTGGGTTCGGGCCCCACCTGGGACCTTTCTGTGTGGAGTTTGCATGTTCTCCCCATGTTTGCGTGGGTTCTCTCCGGGTACTCCGGCTTCCTCCCACAGTCCAAAGACATGCAGCTTAGGTTGATGGTGGTGTCTCTAAATTGCCCATGTGAGTGTGTGTGGTTGTTCATCTATGTGTTAGCCCTGCGATGGATTGGCAACCTGTCCAGGGTGTACCCTGCCTTCGCCCGATTGCCGGCCAGGATTGCCCCCCCCCAGATGTGACCAAAAGCCTAAAAAATGAGGTGTACATATGTTCTAGTACTTCTATGCAGAAGCAGCTCGGTTTATACAAGTCTCACAAACTCACTCATGAGACCTTTTTCTAACAATATAAAGTCTTATGTGATAGTTTAAGGAACACACATTGCATGTCTGTTAATGCATTGTTTCTGTGGAGAATTGTTGTTAGGCTGGAGAAGTTACTGAGTATGCATTTATGCTGGTTAAAATATGGGGTATCTCAATTACCCACTTTGTTTAAAGGATTACAAATCTCTTTTCATCGGTACATATACTGTTGTTTACCTATCTGTGGAGGAGAAATTCAAATGAATTAATGCCATTGCAGTTCATCGTGCTGTCCACTTTCATATTCTGTCACGAATATGTCAGGTAGGATTTGAGGTATTGTCATTGTCAAAAACATAGCTTATTCATCAGCTCGTTCACAAACTATCCTATCGTTTATAGGAAGAGGCTCTCAGGAACTATCGTTCTGAAATAATTACAGACTATTTGGAGTTATGATGGGTGCAAAGCTAATCTAGAGGCACCCAAGATTAAACATTAAATGGTTGGAAATGAGCATACCATGGGATCCTTAACTCAGTTTGTAAGATATAAGAAAATGATGTGCCACAAAATGAACTGAACTTTTTTTCCCATTATTTACATGTTACTCAAATACTGACCTCTCAATGTTTGGTCTTACAGAGCAATGTTTGGTCTTACAGAGATGACTGGTAGGGCTTAGAATACAATGGTTGAGGTGGCACCATGTGCAAACCTTGCTTGAGTAAACAATAGTACATGAAGAGGTGTGACTAATATTCTAGACAACTTCCAGACAACCGTAAAGTTAATCAGAATGACTAAAACATGATTTGCTTCAGCTGAGTAATCCTTACATTGACCTTTAACACATTTTGACTTCCATGTTGAATACAGGCATAACCAGTTAGGCAAAATAAACCTTTAAGCTTAGTCATTTGAAGTGCAGCTATTAACACTGTGCAGGAATCCAGAATAGTTGTATACTATAGTATAAGTTCAATGCTTTTCACTGATCTGTCACTCACACTGTGGTGTTGTACCACCCAGTCAACAGTTCTAGCAAGTGACAACCAAAGCTGTCTTTATTGTCATTTCCAAATGTAACAACCAAAATGTGCTGAATCGGTGGATGAAGTATTACAAGGCAACATAGCAAAGATGAGAATTAATGGGGAGTGAACTTTCCTGGAGAGGTTGGGACATTGTTTTCTCGATTCTCCACATTATATTTCCAAGCAAGAACTGAATCACAGGTGACCTGAATTGCCAAACATAATCCATGGTAGTAGGAGAGGAAGGCCTTGAGTGAGTTCTGCAGTACATGAAAATTACCTAAATTATTTCCAGGCCAGTGTCTGTGAAATGGAAGCATACTGAAATCCCAAGTACAGTTTATGTACATACATAAACTGTATTTTGTTAATGCTGAATTACTATTCTGTGCTGAAGGGAAAAAAGCGGTTTAGCTTACTTTAAAATAACAATTATATTCAAACGCTCTTTAGATCGCCATATAGAATGGCACACAAATTTGTCTTGGCTTTAATCTGAAAAAATATGATTAACAACATACCAACTACAAAATTCACTTTCAGCAAAACACCTTTTACAAATCTAGAAACTGAAACATGCATTAGTCCTATAGTATAATGAAGAAACATGGAGTGTTATTACAAAAATGACAAATAAATTGCACTCCTGAAAAATTTAATGGCCTAAATACAGTGTAACTTTAGTCCACACCTTCAGTTATTTTTTTTTTTTACTCCTTTCTCAGAGCTCTCATTTTTCTTCTGCGCGTCCTCGATGGTAAAAGCATGTGATTGCGCGCCCCCGCGGAGCAGGGGGAGGAGTCAGTGCTCCTCTACGGTACAATTGTGTTTCAGCAAGTAACCTCTCTACAGCGTGGCACTGTCTTTGGAGATGTAAACGAATGTGTTGTTTTTAGCGGATGAAAAAGTGATTTCTTTGATAAAATAAACACAGCGAGAATTCGTATGCTACCCACTTAAGGATTTACGCAGTCATATTGGTGATAAATCGTGAGATTTTGGTTTATTTCTCGACGGGCCCGGACACAGCTTGATACCGACAGAGAGACTCAACTCAGGTCCTTTCGTCCTGACATGGACACAGGAATTGTACCCGAGAAGAAGAGGTAACGTCAATGCTAGCTAATCCTACGTAGCACGCTAAATTGTTTTTAAAGAACTAACTGAACGACTTTGTTGTGCGGTTGGTACTTTATTATTATTACTGCAGTGACATTATGAGTTTTATTTCAAGATTAATTGCTAGTTTGACATGTTTGTTCGACAAAAATGCGTTTGCCTGCGACGCTATTATCGTTAGCAAGCGGCTAACATAGCTGGCTAGCGGGTATAGAACCAATCAGTCGATGTTCATGTAAAATGGTTTGTTTAGCAAGCTATCAGTGTTTACTGTTTGATTCACACAGTGTCTAATTAGATTGATTTTGTCTGTTTACCTTGATTAAATATGCTTTGAAATGAGGTTAACGCTAACGTTGGCGGTGGAAGTAATTTTTGTTTGTGGTCCCTGTTGTGACATCCTAAATGCAACATTTGCGTTGTTTACATTTGTTTTGACCGTGACACTTATCAAGAGTACATCATTGGTGGTGCAGTGTCTGGGATTGATATGCCAACCTTGACGATGTTCAGTGAAATGATGCCAGTGCTCATGTGAGCAGTGCTGGAGAGTAGTGTGTTGTTTTAGTGGAAATATTTAGGGTTTAACGAAGCTGACAGTATATTTTTCTGACCTGGTATCGGATTGATTACAAAAATAGTCCTCTTAATTTAGATTCATGTGGAAGTTGTCAGCAGCTGCATTTTTAACCACTTTCAATTTCAGTTACACAAAATCTGCTTTAACTTCAGTCTCAGCAAGGGTCAAAATATTTTGTTAGTGGCTACAAAGCTCGTCTACATAAGAAGCAAATGTAATCAAGTGTTACTTAAACATCTGTCTACTCTAAGAGACGAGTAAAGTGTTTTGGGAACTAGTGATACCACAGGATGCCGGACAACAACTGGTTTCTTCACCTGGCCATCTCATTCACAAATTCACTAGACTCATATTTGAAAAGTGAGAGTCAAATAAGGGGGTTACATGTGGCAATTGATTATCATAGTTAAATTGTCTTTTGATTACTTTTTCACTGTATAAAATGTTCAGATTTACAAGATTAGCTTGGCCTGTAATAATCTGAAGTAATTTTAAAGACAAGAAAGAAACTGAGATCGTGCATTAAGTTTTGATTTTTGCTTGATGAGCCTTTTCTATATAATTGGTAGATTTGAGTTGCATATGGATGATTTGTCAACAACTGATCAAGTACACTCTACACTGAGTGTAATATGTAGGTGACCTTCATGGTGTTTCATGCCATGCTTCTATAAAAACATAGTAATTAACATTGACTGCACAAGTAGGTTAATTTTGACATGCATGCCCATACTCGCATCTAGCAAATCACAGATCTTGGTCTGTGTGTTACATTTTTGCGTCCTACCTCAACCTACTGACGGGACAGGTAGTGGTATGAACTTGTAATCGGAACTTCTTTTTTTTTGGTCACATATTTAATATTTGTCAGAGCGACAATCTTTAAGAAAAATAAATAAATGAAAAGAAAACCCACATAATGAAATATATCAAATAATAAAACTATAATAAACTTTCAAGTTTGTGCAAACTGCAGTTTGAACTACTAAGCCATTTGAAACAAACTGCTCATTTTCTCATCATGAACGCAGTGAATGAGTCATTGCTTCATTCAAAATTCTCCCACAGCTCTGGGTCCCAGCCAGATGGTCTGTTTGCTTTTATCCATTGGTTCGTCTGCAGTTTGCGTTTCACCCATAGCCTGTATACCTGCTTATGCTAATACGGAACCCTTGCCGTCCTATTATAACAACACTGATTGCTGACGTTGTAATGTTGGTGTAACATTAAAAGTGCAGACAGGAGACAAACACAGTGGCATTGGTGTTTCATGGGAAAATATTAAATAATCACAAACTTAACGGTATTTTGGAGAATCCTGGGTGAAGAATCAGTGAAGGTAACACCTCGTTTCCATAAACCTTGGTGTATGTGCAAAATCCTTTAAAAGCAGTATTCTCAGGTCACACTCGATCAGGGAGGAGACATGGAGAGAGGCACCTGACAGACACCCTCAAACAAAAATAATTATTTCTAAACTGCATATTAGACAATGTTATATTTTTTTAAAAATTGGCCTGTCGTGTAACTAGGGCTGGGCGATAAATCGATTTTAACGATTAACTCGAATGTGTAGTTTACATCGGTTTGTTTGAATGAAAATCGGTTTTATCTTTAACATCCGCCGAACGCTCCCCTCTCGGCTCCTGTAGTTCTGAGTGGGCTCAGCCCAACCCCCACGCGTTTGCCATAGAGATAGCATGGCAGCGAGCAGGGAAGAACTCTTCAGAAAAAAGGCACAGTGTCATCAGTAATATGGAATTGGTTTTGCCGTGTCAGACGCAGAACAAACAACACCCCGCTGCAAAGTGTGTTTAAAGTATGTTGCTACCAAAGGTTGCAGTACGACCGATTTAATGCAGCACCTCAAACAGAGGCATGCTGCCGAGTGGGAGAGATGTCACACCCTACGAAACGAATGAGACAGCGGGAGCCAAACTACACCCGCCGAAAAACAACCCGCAGTCTTACAAACATTTACAAATGGTATCCCATATGATAAGAATGTGGCCCGACAGAAAGCGATCACGGAATCTGTCACAATGTATATCGCAAAAGATATGGTGCCCATATATACTGTGGAAAATCCGGGGTTTAATCACATGCTGAAAGTTTTGGACACCAGGTATGTTTTACCAAGCCGCAAATATTTTTCTGAAGTTTACCTTGCCTCAGCTATATAACAATATACGCCAAAGGATCACTAGGTAGCTGGAAGGTGTGTCGTAGACAGGCTTGTCTTCCTGGCTAAGAGTGTATAAAAGAAAAAAAAAGAAAGGATGTTTGGACTAAAAACATCACAACAAATAAGCACCTTATGCGCTGATATTTAATGCTGTGTGAATGTTTTGTTTGCACTTTATCAGAACTACCTCCTATCTACTGAATAGCAAGATGTTAAACTTGTGTTTAAAGAAAACTTATTTAAAGGGTTATGTTTTATGTTATGTTATGTTTTCACTGTTTACAATGGCAGGGCCAGACATCTTGTATTTTGGCTTCTTTCTCATTGCACTTTTATCCCAGAAGGTAAAATCAAAACAAAATAAAATAATATTTGTTTTGAACAATTTCTTTGTCATCTGCATATTTATTTTAAGTAGGGGGAAAAAAAAAACACTTTAAATCGTAAATCGGATTTTTTGTGAAAAAAATCGGGGATTTTTCTTTTTCGGGTCCTCAATTCAATATGCCGAAATGTTATGTTTCCCATTGTTTTGATAGATCTGAATGAAAAGTCAGGTAAATTGGGCCTGGGCCTGGACCTGACAATCTGGCTATTCGAATATTTGTTGAGTAGGTAATCAGTTTTTAGTATTCAGATATCGAAACGAGCACCACGGTGGTTTTAGTGGACTGAACGGGTTCAGGCTTTTTGACCGTGGGGAGAGTGAAGATGTCGCATTTCTGCAAGTTTGTTGTTGTGTTGTTTCTTCTACAGGTGTTTGATTAAAGACTCTCTCCATTATGGTTGGTTTTGTGGCACATATTGAGTGTTGGCGTCTGTGTAAAATGTGACTCCATGCTTCCATGTCTGTGTGAGACGGGGCACTCACACATAGAAAACAAAGAAGCTGAGCTTGTGGTCAAGTTTACTTTTGTTGTGGTCACTTATCTTATATCTCTGAACTGCTGAAATTTTTTTTTTTTTTACTCTCACTGATAAATAGATGTTATTGTCTAGAGGATGACAGGCTCCACCATTTGGGTCTGGTGGAGTTTGGACCTGGAAGTGGAACATTATGTCACACTTACTAAGTATATAGAGTCCTGGGTTCTGTTTTGTTCTTCAGGCTAAAATCCCACTGAGAGTCACTATTAAAATTTTATTCAGATTGTTGGTGTTATGTACTTGCAGCAAAATGGCTGAGTGGCAGTAGTTAAAATGTCTGAATTGTAGGCCATCTAATTAGATAGTTATCTGTAATTATAGTGTTTTCAGTTCCAACCACTTGTTCCGGTTAGGATGTGTTATTATTGTAGACTACATCAAGTTTTCCAGTGGGCTTCACTCATTCTCTACTGGTTTGAAGTGTAGCACCTTGTATAGGCATAAGTGAAGGATCAACATCCTGTTTGGATTCAGTAATTCTGTGCTCAGTTTTTTTCTTATAAAAAGTTGCTGTCTGGTTTGATGCGGTTTTAGCTGGTCTTTGTGAGATGCCCTGGCATTATTGGTCTCTAGGGCTTAATCACTAGGGCTTGACGTCAAAAGGAGTGGCCAGATGTATATAGTGATTCACTGGCTGGTGATATCCAGGTTGTCCTGACACATTCAACTACAGTTTTCACTTGTGTGCAGGCTAGTTACAACATGAAATAGAAATTGGGTAACTTGCAGGTACAGGAAAAGGGTATGTATTCTGCGTGTGCACAGTTTTTTGATTTATGTTTTGTCATTGAAGACCAAAAATGAAATAAAATTTGCACTGAATACTTTATTTAATTGTACTTCTAAATCACAGTTTGCTGTGAATGGTCATCACAGATCAAGTTATGAAATGAGGTGTTTGCCAGTTAGGTAGGATATATAAAACAAGTAGTTTAGGCTTCCTAAGCTTTAATTGTGAAGGAAGCTTGAGTTTCACAGTAAGTTAAAGGATCAAAAAGCCATTTTATCAGAAAGCATGATCTGGAATTGTGTTCTGCAGTAAGATTTCAAATCCCACATCAATCTGTGTAATGACACATCTGTTTTTGCTTTCTTCATTAATAAATAAATACCAGCATTATAATGGCTTTGACAGATTGTCACAAATTATGCAAGGAAGGAAGCATAAATACAATACTTCTGTATGCAAGGTGTTTGACGTGTTGCACAGTACATTTGAGAAGTTTGTTGGATATGGATAGTGACATTAACAGAGGATACTAGCTGAAATGCTTTTATGGCTCCTGTATATTCTG